GGCATTTCTGTCTGGGACGTCTAACCGGCATCTCGGACCCCAGGTAGAAGAGGTTTGAGAGTCACCTCAGCCGCTGCATTCAACAACTTCCATTCATTTTTTCTTCCAAAATATACCTCAGGGCAATCACTTCCGATAAGGAAAATTCTGCCTTTTGTAAACAAACTCTAGCCGTCCCTGGATGGAGAAGCCATTTCTCTGATTCATAAGTTTCCCCTTGTTCTTGAGAATTTCTCTCTAACCTTTGCTCCCATCCCACAGTACCCTGGGCAGGGCCCGTTATTCTCCCTGCATAAACTTTCCTCCAGCGGAGACAAAGCTGGACTCTGACAAGATTTGGGTCATGAGAGACTCAGTGATAACAGAAAGGAAGTGAACACAGGGCACAACAAGATACAGGGTGGGCTTTTCTCCTTGAAGCCTGGGGATCCCACCTCATCCTGGCCTCCCTTTCTTTTTTTTTTTAAGATTTTATTTTATTATTATTATTTTTTGAAGATTTTATTTATTTATTTGACAGAGAGAGAGACAGCAAGAGAGGGAACAAGCAGGGGGAGTGGGAGAGGGAGAAGCAGGCTTCCCGCCGAGCAGGGAGCCCGATGTGGGGCTCGATCCCAGGACCCTGGGATCATGACCTGAGCCGAAGGCAGATGTTTAACGACTGAGCCACCCAGGCACCCCTGGCCTCCCCTTCTGCATCCCGCTGGTGGGTATTATCTCAGCACTTGCCAAGCAGAGTACATGCCCAGTCAGTCCCATTGATTCGTCAAGTCTCCATCCAGATGGCTAGAGCAAGTGTCTCCTATTTATACGCTCTGTTTCTGCTTCTTGTCAGGGTACCCATCTCTTCCTCAAGTAACTGGCACTGGAAACCATCCTCAGAAGAGACCAAGTCCACTCCCAGGCCATGGTCTTGTAGACTCTGGCAGTGGAATCAAACCAAAGTGTGACCTAGTGACATTGGTTTTCATGATGAATGTACATCCCACCTCTGGCCAGCCCCATTGCCACCTTAAGAACTGTTCTGGCCCTCATCAGTTCTTGCCAGCATCTAGCAGAAGGCTTCCATTCAATCCTTGACCACAGGCCTCCGCACTGTTGTGGGTCTCTGGTCCTAATACTATAGATATTGGAATTTAGGGGTTCTCAAACAATTTGGTCTCAAGACTCTTTTCCACCGTTAAAATTTACTGGGGACCCCAAAGACATTTTGTTTGAGTTATAACTGTCAATATTTGCAGTGTTAGAAATTAAAATAGGGGGATTTAAAAATATTTATTTACTAATTCACTTTAAAATAATAATAATAAACATGTCAATATAAGTAACATTTTTTTAATAAAAAGTAATTATATTTCCCAAAACAAAAATGTTACTGAGGGACGCCTGGGTGGCTCAGTCAGTTAAGCATCTGCCTTCGGCTCAGGTCATGATCCCAGGGTCCCTCTCTCTCTGCATCCTCCCCTCTTGTGCTCTCTTTCTGTGTCTCAAATAAATTTAAAAAATTTAAAAAATATTAAAAAAATGTTACTGAGAAGTGTGGCATTGTTTTATATTTTTGCAAGTTGCTTTAATGTTTAGCTGAAGAGTTGAAGCTGGAGTCTCATAGCTGCTCCTGCATTCAATCTGTTGTGCTATGTTGTTTGGTTAACATGTATGTAGAAAATCTGGCCTTACCCATATATGTAGTTGAAAGAAGAAGGGGTATTTAATAGGTTTCTTAGGTAATTCTAGTGTTCTTTTTTCATGCTACATCTCAACTCAAGAAGTGGTAGTTTCTTAAAGTTTCCTTACAGTGTGGAATCTGAAACCACTTCAATGAACTTTTTGCATTCTTTTTTTTTAAAGATGTATTTATTCATTTTGGAGAGAGAGAGACAGCACGAGTGGGAGGGGCAGAGGGAGAAGGAGAGAGAACCTCAAGCAGACTCTGTACTGAACTTGGATGCTGATGCAGGGCTCGATCCCAGGACCCTGAGATCATGACCTGAGCCAAAACCAAGAGTCAGACACCCAACTGACTGAGCCACTCAGGCACCCTGACCATTTTGCATTCCTACATTAAAATCTATTCCTTTATCTTGCACTTTGAATACATCTTTTTCTAACGCCGTACATCGGTCATTTGAAACATATTAGTTCACTGAGTTATATACATTCTCTAAATATCAACATATTTCATTATCCAATATTTAAAAATCATATTCATTAATATCAGCATTGGACTATCATTGGCCAAGCCATTAAATACTGGAAAACTGTCAAGCTCACAGTGGCAGATGCAATTTTTCCAAAATTCTAATTCTCACTTGCGAGCTCGGATTCTGTCATTGGCAACGAATATTGTCCATTGTTTTCCTTGAAGATCTATTTTTTAAAAATTATTTATTTATTTATTTATTTGCGAGAGAGAATGAGATAGAGCATGAAAGGGGGGAGGGTCAGAGGGAGAAGCAGACTCCCCGCTGAGCAGGGAGCCCGATGTGGGACTCGATCCCGGGACTCCAGGATCATGACCTGAGCCGAAGGCAGTCGCTTAACCAACTGAGCCACCCAGGCACCCTTGAAGATCCATTTCTTAAAAAGTAGCTGCCAAAACCCAAGTCTGAATAATCAGAATTTGTCAGTTGTTTCTGTCACCTAAAAACTTGTTTTCTGAAAGAGTGATTAGTACAGCTCTCTGTGTTCAGTCCCACACCTGGTTCTTCCTGGAGACGGCGTGGTACTTCTGGCAGGAGTGGTTACTGCACTTACCAGGTCATCACACACAATGTTAAAACAGCGTGTTACCCAAGGGTTGAGATTTAATAGAGTGAATAACTATTGTTTCAGCACAGACCATCAGACCATCTTAAGTGAAACCAGTTTTTTTTAAAAAAATATTTTTTTTACTGTTCAGTGCATGAGAGTGAAGAAAAAGATTACCAGTACCGTGTAGTGTTGCTATCTTGATATGTGTTAAGGGACCAGCAGTTTTACTCACTGTTGCTTTTGTACCATCACTGCCCCCCCCCCAAAAAAAAAGTCAACAGAGAGAGGAAAGGCAATGAACATCTTTGCACCGTTATGAAAATAGTTCTGACCTCATGGCACCCCTGAGAGCGTCTTGCTGACCCCAGGGATCCATAATACACACATTGAGAACAGCAGAACTAACTCACAAGCTCTCAGTGGTTTCCACCTCCTACAGGCTGAAGACTGGCTAGGCCAGAATTAGCATTTTATGGACTTCAATCTTCCTCCTATTCTTCTGCAAGAAGATAAAGATGATTTCCTTTTTTTTTTTTTAAGATTTTATTTATTTATCAGAGAGAGAGAGAGCACGCATAAGCAGGGGGAGTGGTAGAGGGAGAAGCAGACTCTCCGCTGAGTGGGGAGCCCGATATGGGACTCAATCCCAGGACCCTGGGATCATGACCTGAGCCGAGGGCAGACACTTAACCGGCTGAGCCGCCCAGGCGCCCTCATAAAGATGATTTCTAAGGAAGAACAGCAGTGAGCCCGAGTGCTGTCTGTGGGGAGAATTTATGAGTTGCCAGCAAGCCTAGTGGGGATCGCTGCACCTTGGGGAGGCTGCTGGGGGGAAGGTTGACATCAGCTGGACAGCAGCCATCCCCAGGGCACCGGAGGCTTAAGCAGCTCTTGTGGAAAGTCGGCTGCGCTTTGCTTGAATTCCGAAGCTGTGAAGACCTGGTGCCCAGAGGGCCGTCTTCTGTGTCCTCACATGGCAGCAGGGGCGAGCTAGCGCTCCGCAGTTTCTTTCCTAAGGGCTCTGATCTCATTCATGAGGCTCCACCCTCAAGACCTAATCACCCCCCAAAGGCCCCACGTCCTCATACCATCACCTTGGGCGTTAGGATTCCAACAGAAGAATTTTAGGGGGACACAAACTTTCTGCCAATACCAAGTACCTATCTCACAGCCTTGTTGTGAGAAATAAATGAGTTTCAATGTGTATAAAAGCAGTCAGGACAGTGTCTGGCTCCTATATGGAAACAGCCTCTACATCAGCCTTGCCATCCACAGAATCATCATGTGGAAGCATTGGAATGGGCCCTGGATAGTCCCATTTTACAGTCGGAGACACTGAGGTCCTGAGAGGAAAAGCAATTTACCTACAGTCACCCGGCTGCTAGCCTGGACTACAGGCTCAGTCTTCCGATTTCAGTTGCAAGTGTTTTCTCCATGATTCCCTTTTCCTGGTCTGTCCACTGTTTGAGTCAATCCCATTAGCCATGAAGCCAGGTCTGGGGCTGATGCTATTGATACCCAAGACTTTGACAAATAAAAGCAGATGTCTTACCACAAAGCCGACTGAGGACTTCTTATTTGCTATATAATCAGGGCTTTGTTTTCTGCTAGTCTGGATTCACAATTTCAAAAAGATGCTTGTGCACGTTTCAATTCTGTCCTGTAAGACCTTCAGTTGGCTCTGCTGTCCCCATCAGTTCAGGCCCTCAGTATGTGTCCCCTGGTTATTTGCTCTAGCCCATATCATTGCCTGAGCAGCCTGCTACAGTCTCAGCTCAAGCATGGCCTCCTCTGGAATCTTCAGTGGCTAGCCTTACCTACTGATCCCCTTCTGTGGGCACCGCCACTCTCTGAGCAGCCTGCAAACGGCTTTCTAGCTCTCAGTGATCCCACATCTTCATTTTTTGGGCACCGGATATCCCCCATCCAGCCAGCCTCTCGCTATTTTCTGCACAAACCTTGAACTTCCCTAAGGCATTGTGTTTGCTCAGACTTTTCCCCTAGCTTAGAATGTGCTCCTCTCTCTTCCAGGCCTGCAGCCATGCTACCCATCCCTCTATCCCAAATGTCAATTTCTCTATGAAGACTTCTTAGTCAACCCATGCAATGCCTCTGAGTTCTTCGTGGTGTCTCTCGTCTCACTTACTGTGTTTTACAACTATTGGGTCCCATGTCCTATGTCTTCAATGACCTACAGTTGGAGGTCAGGGACCTCATCTTTTCCAACGTGGTAACTGCTGTTGCCTCTGACATTATCTGTATAAAAAGTCTTTGTTAAATGAGCACATTCTTCACAGTACTGTTATTGCAAGGGACTCTCTGAATTGTCAAGGTTAATATGAATAATTAAGGCTAATTATTAACCTCTGTATTATTAAGGCTAGTTCAATCTATGACTGCCTGTCCACAAACCAGTGACTTAGCCCTAACAGCTCCTTCTCCCCTGGAAGAATTTCCTTCTGGACCTTAAGACTGATTTTTTTTTTTTTAAGATTTTATTTATTTATTTGACAGAGAGAGACACAGCGAGAGAGGGAACACAAGCAGGGGGAGTGGGAGAGGGAGAAGCAGGCTTCCCGCGGAGCAGAGAGTCCAATGTGGGGCTCGATCCCAGGACCCTGGGATCGTGACCTGAGCCAAAGGCAGGCGCTTAACGACTGAGCCACCCAGGAGCCCCAAGACTGATTGTTAAAGAAAGCACCCTGGGAGGCAAGACTTAGAAGCATCGACCAGTCTTTTACATTTGCTGCTGGCCCAAAGAAGGCTCTGAGGGGAGCTCTATGGAGGCAGGGGGTGAAGGGTTGGAGGTGGAGGCCAGCACACAGTTGTCCCCAGACTGGCCTAAGTTGTTGCAGATACTAAAGAAACCTATTCATTCTCTAAAAACAGCAAGTGTTTTTGTGAGTGGGCAGGCGTTCATTCCCATCCAGCCTTTTGCTTTTCCTGTGCCCTGTGAGTCAAACTGGCCAATCGGCCATGGACACCTGTGATGCTGTCTGGAAGTGAATGCTGTTGCTTCTCATGGTTTGGACTTGAAAAAACTGTAATCAACCAGTCCTTTCTCTATCCTGAGTAGACTTTGGTCCCTCCCACCACAAGTGGTACATAGGATTGCATCATCCTGCATCTTTCCATGTGAATCGGTAAGGGCTCTATGAGCTCACCCTGGGCTGGACCTTGTAGGGGATGCCAAGACAGGATTCTCACACTCTCGGAGCATGCAGTGTCAGAAGGGCAGAATGCAGGAGGAGAAAGCAACGTAGGGGGCAACTGGCCTGACCCCTTCTTTCATAGACCTGGCTTCTGGCTGGAGCAAGACAGGCAACATACAGACAACTTTGCAGAGTTGTGCGTGAGCAGGGCACAGATGGACAGTCGCTGTTGGTCTTGGAAGTAGGACTGCAGGGGGCAGGCCCCTGGATCCACAGCATTTGCCCTTTTGGCCTTGGATGGCCCTGGCACATAGCTACAGAGTGTGTGCCCTGCACAAAGGCACCAACTGAATGGGTCAAGCAGGGGCTGGAGTCTAGCCCACACTCCATTTACCTTCCCCTTGTATAGATCCTCCATTAGGCCCAAACTGAAGCCCCTAGCACATTCTCCAACTGTGTGTATGGCACATCCCTGTAAGTACTGTACTTCTCTATCAGTCAATGGGCCTATTGACCCTTGTTTCCACAGCTCCTAGGAGTAGCCTGAAATGCATGAATGAATGAAGGAGACAGTTGGTTAGTTGCCATATAAATCTGATCTCTGTACTGCCCCCCTAGTTCTATCTCATCCATATTCCCATTCTCCCACCTCCACACCATCTTCTTGCTCATTATTAAAGTCCTACTCTTCTTTACTACTCACCTCAAGGTCTGCTTTCTTGTGAGGCCTTCCCCAAAGGACCAAGGCCACAGATTTCCCCTCTTGGTCTCTGGTACCATAAAGGTGTGATGGAGAAACTAGGAATAGCCAACACTCCTGAGGCCCTAATAAGTGTCAGACTATGTGGGAGGATTCCTTTTAGTTCTCCCAACACCTATGAAGTTGTTAGTTATCCATTGCCATGTGACAGATTACCACAAAGATAGCAACTTAAAAGAATATACATGCATCATCTCACAGTTTCCATGGGCTAGGAGTCTGCACTCACCTCAGCTGGGTCTTCTGCTCAAGGTCTCACAGGGCTGCATTCAAGGTGTCAGCCAGGTTGTGTGCTAGTCTGGAGGCTCGACTGGGGAAGAATCTGTTACCAAGCTCGCTCTGGATGGTGGAATTCATTTCCTTGCAGTTTGTGGGACTGAGGTTCCTGACTTCCTGCTGTCTGTCAGCTGGAAGCCTCCCTCAACTCCCCGAGATGGGCACAGCTTCTGTCCTTAGTCTAAGCTGCCTCTTATGGTGAGATACTTCTGTCAGTCGGCTCCATTTTTCTCTCCCTGAAGCAAGCCTGTCTTGATAAATTGATGTCAGTGAATTGCTGGGCAAGCCCTTTTGACATAGTAACTCTGAAGGGCTGTGAGTTTCTTTGTCATGTTGTCTCTCGTACAACTGTGCATCCTCTACATCTGACAGAATCCATGCTGGTCAATGTTGTTGACAATGACTGTGACCATGGCAGAGGAGGGAGACCCTTCCGCCAAGGAATGGGAGGGAAACCCAGCCTGTAGGAACAGGGACAGGGACTGCTGGCTCCGTAGGGCAGAAGGGGAGGAAAGGATGAGGATGACGTAAGGGCATAGGAAGCACAGAAACTCTTCAGCAACCTTTGGGACCACAGTGAAAAAAGCCTTCCCTCCCTCCCTGGGGCAGAGTGAGAGCAGGGCCAGCTGTGCACTCACGGTCACCCTGATGCCATCTGCCAGTGTGCCCCCTGTCCTTTCATTTCCCTCTTTTACCATAAGACAGCAGTGTGTTATCTGATTTCTCTTTTCCTTCTGGATTGGGCTGGTGAGGCTTTTCTTACCCAGGTTCTGCTGATGAGGGGTCTACTCCTCTCACACATTCAAATCCTGTGAAGGCTTTGCTCTTTGAGATCATCTTTCCATTTTCCTCTCCTGTTGTAATTTTTGCTTTCTGATTTGAGGCTCCCATTGTGGAAGTTCTTTATCTGGCTAATTGTATCTTCTTCCATTACTTGACTTCCAAAATTTCATCATGCAATGATCTTTTCCCCAAGATTTCTGGTAGGCAGAAAATCTTAGTTTAAAATAACAACCCATCTCACTCTAATGTAATCATTATCCACTTAGTACATGATTTATTTTTGTGAGCTATGAGCTCAATTTTATTTAATTTATCAGTCCAGGAACCAGAAAGGCAGGACTATAATCCCAGCTACCTAGAATGGATGGGAAACACTCAGGCCCTGTGAAACCTTTTCTTACCTGCTGCAGGGCTGGGCACAGAGTTAGCATTACTCAACTAATACTTGTTGCAGTTACCTTATTCCTTATTTCCCCCAAGTTTTACATCATGTCACTTTTCTTCCTGATTTGAACAAATAAAGAAGCACCTGCCCAAACTTGAAGTGCAGGAATCACTTTTGATCTTGCCCCTTCCCCAACCCTCATGTCCGACCAAACCCAGTTCATGCCCATTCTAGCTTCAAAATATCTCCCTGGTCTACTTGCATCCAGGCCCCTCCCTTATCTTCTCTGCTCTGAGCCACAGCAACCATCTCCCTGTTCTTGCTCCCTCCACCCTTGCCTCTTCCAATCTGTTCCTCACAGAGCAGCGGATGTTGAAAAACCTAAACCCCATGATACCTCTACCCTGAGTAAAACCCACTGGTGACTCTCCAGTGTCCAAAATGTCATCCAAGCTGTTTTCTGCAGTCCACAAGGCCCTGTACCATCTGACCCCTCTTCCTTCTCTCTTTCATCTCCTGTTCCTCCTTTCTCCATACTCTTGGCACACTGTTCTCTCCCTTCAGTTCTTCCCAATTGCCAAGTTCTTCTCTGCTTTCAGTCACTGCCGATGCTGCTCCCTCTGCCTGCATGGCCTTCCCCAAGCTCTTTGCATGATTGAATCTTTCTCATCTTTTAGGTATCAGCTTAAATGTAACTTTCCCCAAGAAGATACCCAATCCAAAGTGGGCCTTTCCTGTTATTCTGTCTTATGTCTGTTGATTTTTTAAAAAAAATAACATTTGCTGTTTTATTCATCTGTAGTCCCCTTTCCTCCCTAGACGATAAGCTCCATGAGAGCAAGGGCCATACAGGTTTTGTCCACTACTGTACAATCAACTCTCAGCTTAGTAGCTGACTCATGGCAGACATTAAAGTTCATTAAATAGAGTTATAGCAGAGGATGAATGAATGCATGACTGAAGGAGGCTTCCTTCATTCCACCTGTGCCCTTTCAACCAAGATGATGTCCCTTTTAAGTACTGTAAGAACTCCCTCCCTCCTTCCCTAACTTCATTCCCTCCATTTGTACTTATCTGAGGGGAATTTTCCATGAGTCCACTCTATTTTTCCACCACAGTAACATCTTCTTTATCTGAAGGTTATCGTCTCACACCCTCTTCTATTCAGAACTCAACTGACATGCCGGAAAGAAGAAAAAATCCTCTGCAATAAACCCCGAACTCTGATATTCCAGCCCTTAGGGTTCCCATTCAGATTTTTAATATTTTCCTACACTTCTACTAGGCAGAAAGATCCGTTCTCCAAACCTGCTGCTAATTAGATGTTATTTCTTTTGTTGGTGAGAGAGGGTGTTGCTGAACTCCATTAAGTGACACATCTCAAGAAAGGAATTTAAATCAAACCCAAAATAGACATAGAATTCTTATTTTTAATACATTCATTAATCACAGAGTGTCAGCCCTGTGACTACTCATGGGTGCGCGCACGCGCACACACACACACACACACACACACACCCCCTGCTTCTTGTAGCTCGCTCACCCACAGCCACCATCAGACCCCTGGAAGGAGACACATGCAGTACACTTTCTCTGGTGTCTTGCTAGGAGCCTGATGGATGCCCAAAGGGGTCCATTTCAGGGGATCTTCTCAAGGATCCTGACACTCATGGAGCCTGGGATTCCTTTAGCTCTTCTTAGATTTGTTGTCCAGAATCCTGGCCCTGGGAAGCTTAGAAGAGTCCCCAGTAGCTCACAGATGACTCCTTTCAGCACCCAGGGACTCTGTCCAGCATACTTTGTCCTGTCAGAACACATACCTGCACTCACCCCTCCAAGGACACTTGCACAAGTTCCAGAAGGCCGAAGTCAGTATTTGACCTTATTGAACTTGTACCTATGGGGTAAATACTCTATTAAATAAGTGTTCGTTATTCACTCAACCCCGTTTAGTGCCCCTATGCCAGGCCAGCAACATGCTGGGAGTACAGACATAGCAGGACAGTCGATTGTGGCCTCTGAGTACTGCTCGCGTGCTGTTTCTAAGACTCGCCTATCGGGTGGGTGCCCTTAGGCAGGCGAGAATTCTACCACTGAACCACCAGTGCTCACCGGTGGGTGGGTGCCCTTAGGCAGGCGAGAATTCTACCACTGAACCACCAGTGCTCACCGGTGGGTGGGTGCCCTTAGGCAGGCGAGAATTCTACCACTGAACCACCAGTGCTCACCGGTGGGTGGGTGCCCTTAGGCAGGCGAGAATTCTACCACTGAACCACCAGTGCTCACCGGTGGGTGGGTGCCCTTAGGCAGGCGAGAATTCTACCACTGAACCACCAGTGCTCACCGGTGGGTGGGTGCCCTTAGGCAGGCGAGAATTCTACCACTGAACCACCAGTGCTCACCGGTGGGTGGGTGCCCTTAGGCAGGCGAGAATTCTACCACTGAACCACCAGTGCTCACCGGTGGGTGGGTGCCCTTAGGCAGGCGAGAATTCTACCACTGAACCACCAGTGCTCACCGGTGGGTGGGTGCCCTTAGGCAGGCGAGAATTCTACCACTGAACCACCAGTGCTCACCGGTGGGTGGGTGCCCTTAGGCAGGCGAGAATTCTACCACTGAACCACCAGTGCTCACCGGTGGGTGGGTGCCCTTAGGGATCCTTAACCTCAGCACTGTCATGTTCTTATCACTTGTTTACAATATGTGCACCTATCTCAAAAACACCCTGCCCTGATTTAGAGATATCTTGCTACATTATTTGTTTTTTCTGGCTCAACTGGAACTGCCTGCCAGGCTCCTCCTTCTTTGTCTCTGCACCCCACATCTGATGGAAAGTGGAAGTGCAGGGTTAGCCTCAGGCCACCACAGGACCTTTTTCAGGATGGAAGGCAGACCACTGTTAGTGACTCATTCTCTAGGAGTTGTCCTGTCCATAGATCCCTGAGGGGAAAATGTATATAGTTATGATAATTACTTATAAAATATATACGTAAAATTTGTATATATGTCTGGCTCTCTCCATGTATACCTGGAGTTCTCCCCATCTGTTGCAACCTCATTGCTAGTTATCTCCATGAAAGACCCCCAGTGAGTGCTCTGGGAGTGGAACCCATATGCAGATGTTCAGGCAGGCAAAATCCCAAGGGTCTAAGGCCTGAAGGGTGTGGGACCAGGCCATCAGAGGTGGCTGGAGCCACACTGGCGAGGTGGCTTACACATTTTTCTGTGTTAGGTTTCTAGGTGAGCCTAGAGCCGGATAAGCTTACCTTACTAATGAAAGGATTTTAAATTTCATGGGCAAGAAATTATGGGGCTTCTCTCATGAATATGGACTTCCGATAACTCACAAAGGCATTTTGACTCTTCCTCTTATTATCTGTTGGTTATATCTACTTCTCTCTACCCACCCTGCCACCATCACCCCTGCCGGGACACTGCAGGGCTCCCCAGCCAGCTTGCCTGGCTTTCCTCTGAGTCCCTCTAATTCATTTTCCCCACATGCAGAGCCATCTTTTAAACCACAGATCTGATGGGTCACTGTTGCCACTCCATGGCTTCCCTAGATCTCAAGATAAAAAAAATCCAACCTTCTTTAACCCGGTCCACAGAATCCTCCCAACTTGACCCTGTTGACCTCTAGCTACATCTGTATTCCTTAGCACTAGTTCCCTTATACTAATGCTCCAACTACTCATATCCCACGCTTGCTCCTGTTTCAGGTCTCTGAACATGTTGCAATTGTGCCTGGAGCTCCCTGCCCTCCCCTCCTGAATTCCTAGTCAATCTTGAAGACCCTGTTCAGACGCCACCTAAGGGTCCTGGGGCAGAACACTCAATGCCTTTCACCACTGTCAACTCCTTTTCCCGACTATTGTTCCCAGAGCCTCCTGGTATCTCTCTGTTGGCTTGTTGATGTAGTGGATGCTAATTGCTTGCTTAATTTCTTTTTCCCCTTACTGGACTGTAAGACCTTTGAGACCCAGATTCCCTCCTATTCATTACTGTATCCCCAGTTGTTAGCACAGTTCCCGGCTTATAGTAAGGAAGAACTCAATAAATGTTGAATTAATTCGTTCATGAATAAATTTGATGGAATGGATAAATCCCAGGTTTTGGTGTCAGGGATGATCTTAATAAAGCAGGTGACATAGTAAAAAAAAACCTTGGCAGGAAGTCACAAGTGCCGAGTTCTTTGTAAACTTGGGCAAGCCACTACTCTCTGTATAGAACTTCAGTTTTCCCACATATAAAATCCTGGAATCCAAATCTCTGAGGTCCTTTTCATCCTTTTGTGGTCCATGGTGCTGCATCCAACATGTTTTCTTTGAGAATTACTCTTATTCCATCTCTATAAGAGATGTCCAAAGACCATCATGCCCAGAAGGATCCTCTTAAAATCCATAAACAGCATTAAGGACAAAATTAGAAACAAGGGCTGCTTGGGTCACAACAAGATTTTGTTCTCAGAGCCCCATTGCCTCTTGCTGACTTCTCCCAGGGACTGATGAGCTCCTGCCTTTATCTTGTCCTAATTGGTGTCCTGAGGCTTTTCAACGAAGACTCCACCATCTTTTCCCTGCCGAGCTGATAAACTTGCTGAATTTCAAAGATTGCAGCAAAAGTACGGCTTGAATCTTGGCCTAAAAAGAGTTGAAACAGGTGCCAGATGCCAAGAAGGAGCATAAATGTCTAGAAATGTGGTATAACCCTCCAGAACCCCAGGCCTGGGGCCACAGAATTCTGGACTGCCGTGGAGGGCAGTGGGTGAAAGGCTCAAAATTATGGCAAGGGGTCTACAAGTTCATTGATGAATCAAGCATTGTCTCTGACTAAATGAGTGCTATGTTTTGCAGCTACACATCATTTTTCAAGTGCGCAACAGAGCTGTGACTGTGACTAACAAAATAAACATTCATTTAAAAGTAGTTCTAAATTCACACCAGGCATCACGCGCTTTCCTTGCTCAGTGGACACCACAAGGGACACACTACTATGCGATGACTCTGGGTTGCAGGAATGCCAGCTCCAGGAAAGATGAGTCTGTGGCTGTCACTGTACTCCCCGCTCCACGTTCAAGGTCAGCGCGTACTAGGTGCTTAATAGATAGTTGTTAAGATTCAGGGAAATTTTTTTTTTTTTTTACTTTAAAAAGGCTTATATTTGAAAAAGGTTAGGAACCACTGGCTACTCACCGCAGTTAATCAGACAATCTTTTTGTGGTTTGCATAGTCGTTGGCAACTTAAAAAAAGAATCGTTTTCACATAAATCACAGCATGTGGTTTGCAGTGATTTGCAAATCATGACCTTGCAAGGGACGTGAAGTCAGAGGCTAGGAGGCTGCTTGTGGTGGGCTGCAAACAAAGGTGGTGGGACCCGTCTTCAGCTGTATGCCCAGGGATGACAGCATCTCTCTTCTGTCCCTCTGGTAGCTGGAATGGCTCCTATGCATGAATGTAGGTAAGATAAGGCCCTAAAATAAGACTGGTGTTTCATCAAGTCAGCTTAGTTATGGTAAGAATTACAAAGATAGTACAGAGCTTCTTGCATTTAAAAAGATAAAGGAGCTGGGAAGTAGCCTGAGAAATTGCAAACCAGAGGCTCTCTTCTTCTATCTCTGTGGTTGCCCCCTTTTCGGCCATGAAATAGAAATATAATGAGGCAAAATGAAGGTTAATCTGTTAAGTAATTAAACATGTATTTTGGGGTATCTTGATTGAGGTGCAAGGCTTAAAGATGGTGAAAGATGATTGAGATCTGAAACCCAAAGCAGGGGCGCCTGGGTGGCTCAGTCGTTGGGCGTCTGCCTTCAGCTCAGGTCATGATCCTGGTGTCCTGGGATTGAGCCCCACATCGGGCTCCCTGCTGTATGGGAAGCCTGCTTCTCCCCCTGCTTGTGTTCCCTCTCTTGCGCTCTGTCTCTCTCTGTCAAATAAATAAATAAAATCTTAAAAAAAAAAAAAAAGAAACCCAAAGCAAACTGCCACCAAAAGAACACTGATTAAATAAGGTACATTTGTACAATGGAATTGGGTGCAGTCGTTACAATGATACAGATTTAAATTTATTGATACGATTAACTATTTAAAGCAAGTGAAAAGATAGCCTATCCTGTGCAGTGTTTTCCCATTTATGTAAAATTGTTCACGTTCTTACGAATGCAAAGACATACCTGGGATCAATGACAGTTGCCAAATATGAAACCGCTCCACACAGCAGGATTTCATGGGGCTTTGCCTTTCCCGCTTCTGTATGTTACGGGCATGCGTGATAAGGTGCTGCTGGTGGTATGTTCTCTGAGTCCACTTGCATGGCTGGTCCCAGGAAGGATGATGTAGCCCGGTGGGGCAGTAGTTTTCATTAGCTCTTCCTCACACAGCATCCAAAGCCGACTGGACATCTTACTTCTCTTGATTAATTAGGAACCGAGCCTTGACCGACCAGGCGGTGAGCTGCGGTGGGAGCAGAAGTGACTGGGCCACCCCTGCGTGGCTCGGTCGCAGCGCTCGCTGCTTCCCCAAGTACTGCCCACCAGGCTCTCTCAGAAGTGGCAGGACCAGCCAGTGCATGAGCCCGGAGTCTGTCCCCTCCGTGTCTTCCCTGGAGGCCATGCTTTGGGCTCTCTGCACTTGCTTCCCAGTCCCTGAGATGTACCCAACAAGGTTGGGCAGGTGGACACGTTTGTCCCCACTCAGCCTGCCAGGTGTCACAGGGTCTGTGCCCAGGGCCTTCTCCCCTACGAAGAGAGCCTCCCATGAAGCCTTATGCTGACCTCGTATGTTTGGAGTCTGAGGGCCCTGGTGTGTCCTGAGGGCTCACCAGGTGTGAGAAGGTGGGCTCGCTTTACTTTCTGAGCCTCAGTTTCTTCACCTGTAAGATTAGAAACATAATGCTCCTTCATATGATGTCTCTGGAAACACTTGGTAGACTCCACAGTGGTTGCGTCGTCCGGAGATGGGGCTTTAGAGTTAGACGTTGCTCCAATGGCAGCCCTGCCACGTACTGTCTGGGGACTCAGGGTGGGTTAGGGACCTCACACAGCCTCACATTCTGACCTGAAAAATGGGATTCTGCTCTTTGTCCAGCCCTCCGGCCCGAGGCCCTCCGGGCAGAGCTGTGATCTGCATAGTATTCCAGAGGACCAAGGCTCAAATTAAAAACTTTCTCAGGAGCAATTATTCAGATGTTGTGGGGGTGGGGGATGCCCTGTGGCTGGAACCCAGCTTCCCCCACTTTGTTTTTATTTTTACACCCCTGAAGTCCAAAGCCAGCTGTCTGAATCACTTGCAAACAGAGCCAAAACAATTTTTATGCGTCACAGGAGGCCATGGGCTCCAGCCACGCCTCAGGATGGTGCACTAAAAATATCTTCCCAGAGCTATTTTTAAGGTCCTGCAGGCTGTCAACCACAAGCCAAGAGAGCAGAACTCCTCACTATGTGCATACAAACGGCACCACGCTTATTGCTCAGTGGGCCTGTGGGTCAGTTAAGGAGCTGGATTTAAGGCCCCACATCCTCCTCTCTGACCACAGGGATTTGTCACCACGCAAAGGCACACACTGCAAGTGCAGACTTCCCTGGGGACACTGCCAGGCAGACAGGGCCACCATTACGTCAGTGGCGTGCAACCTTTCCACCCGGGGCGTCCTGTGAGCCACCAGCACAAAGGCTTCTGCCAAGTGAGGACACTGGAGACCCAGCACTCCTGCTGGAACAGTCATTTCTAATTTTCAAAGCACGTTCACCTCCGTTACCTTCTCTGATCCTCGTGGCATTCCTGCTAAATGGCTATTACTATCCCCATTTTATAGATCAGGATAGTAAAGGACTACTCGTGCTCTTATCACACCCCTCTTAGGCTATAGAATATAAAACAAATCCTCTAGTATGTCTGAGGGTGGGATGACCTTGGACATCCCCGCATGGGCTCGGCTTTTTGCCTCTCAGCCTCCTATGCAGTGGCCACGCCCACGCTCCACTGTAATCAGATCGCTCACCATTCCTTCATTCATTCGACAAACATTTCCTGCGCACCCACTCTGACCAAGGCCCCACCGTGCTAGGTCATCCCTGCCCTGGGGAGGAGGCAGTGACAGGACACACCTCCACAGTGCATGGTGGACACAGGGTGGTGGGAGAAGTCACCAAAAGCTTTGGGATGAGGGTGATCCCTGCGGGGGTCTGGGGGCTGAGCAGGACCTAGAAGAGGAGCAGCGCAGACAGAGGGAGCAGCCCGGGCCCGGCAGGAGACGCAGGAGAGCAGGGAACATGGGGGATCCGAAAGCAGGCCTGAGCAGGTGCGGGCAGGAGGCAGGGCCCACGGGGCTAGACCGCTAGCGGGGCCCGAGCAGGAGACATAGGCGCTGTCTGAAGGGCCTGGGCGGCCCTGGAGGTTTTCCGCAGAGAATAGCATGATCCCATGTGCATGTAGGAGCATCCCTATGCTTGCTGTACAGGGCACTGGAGGACGGGGCCAGGTTGGAGGTTGTTCAACAGCTCAGGTGAGGCAGGCTCAGGGGCCCGGACTGGGGTAGGCAGGGTCAGAGAGGATGAAAAAGAAGGATCCAATTCTAGAAGTACTTAAAAGTAATTAAGAGGTAGGCTAAAAATGAGTTGCAGGGCTTAGTGGTGAGTGGGATGTGTGGGGGCAGGGGAAGAATCTGAGGCAAGCCCAGGGTTCAGCCCTGGGCGGCTGGGAGCAGGCTACTGCCATTCAGCAAGCTGGGGACACGGAAGAGGAGCAGGCTTGTTTTGAATTGGTTATGGTGAGTTGCCAGTTGGATATCCCAGTAGCTGTCATAAGCAGGAAGTCACATACACAATTGGGAGCTCAGAGGAGAAATCAGGCTTGGACAGAACAGTTTGGAAGGGGGCGGGGAATGGAGGAAGCCTATAGGGCAGCGGGTCTCAACTTTTCACTCCCATCCAAATCAAGTGAGCAGCTTAAAAAAAAGGATCTGAGCCCCATCCCCAGAAATTCTGATTCAGTTACTACACAATAGGCCCCGGTTTCAGTAGATTTTAAGTTCCCAGGTATTCCTTCTGATGAGTAGCCAGGGTTGGGGAACAGGGCAGTGGAGAGTTGAGGATGAACAGGAGATGGCCTAGAGAGATGGCAGATGGGCAGAGACACCAACACGGATGGGCCAGGGAGGATGGAGAGCCCGAAAGCAGCCTGGCCTCCAGGGAGCAGGCCTCGAGCAGACAGCATTATGTCCAGAGCCAAAGCAGGGCAGGTGCTGAGCAGGAGGCCCTGTGAGTGCATCAGATGCTCAGGAGAGGCCAGGCAGCGTGGTGGTGCAGGGTGTCTAGGGGCTGACCGAGGCCGGGGCAGATGTGGGCTGGGGGTGGGGCTTGCAGAGGCAGATGGGCCCAGGCTCGAGGAGAGGTAAGGGGGGGAAGCAAAGACCATAGAAGGTAGGTGTGTTCAGAGGGAAACAGAAGGAAACAGAGGGTGGAGGCATGATCAGACAGACTTGGGGCAGCCTGTCCCAGAGGTAAGGAGACTAAGAGGACAAGCTGACACCACCCTGAATGATGGGGGAAAGTTAACGGCGGGGGGGGGGGGGTCCCAGGAAGCTGAGGGACTGGGGTTCAGAGCCCAGTGGAGAGATCAGCCCTGGGAGAAGAGATGTTCCCCGATCTGGGGCAGCAAGGACCGAAGACGGTGTCACCTGCCTTCTTAGAGCCCAGCACCTGTACCTGCCCCAGAAAGGTGAATTGAGGGCGGGCAGACACCGCTGCTTCCCTCCTCCCCACCGGCCCTCCTCTAGCCCTTCTTTCTCGTGCTCCCCTCCCACGTCCTCCTCCCCTGCTCTAGCAGGAGGTGCCAGGCAGAGCCTTGGTGCGGCCAGCTCCCACATGCTTCTGCCCACTCGTTTCCCCCAGAATGTTTTTCCCAAATGTTAAGGAGACTGTGAATGCCTTGAAAGCAGTGACTCAAAGTTTGCCTGAAATACTTGCTTCTAAACATATGGTCGGTCCCTCCTAGACATTTGTTGTGCAAATTCATGCATAGACACATGCATAAACATAAAGCCTCCACAGAGACATATTTATAAGTATATATATATATATGTGTGTGTATATATATATACATATGTATATATATATGTGTGTGTATATATATATACATATATATATATATCAGTGCCTAATTGTGCCACGTGGGGCACATGCGTGTTCACCAAGATCTCCCTGCAGGGGAGTGATGACACGCTCTCTCGTGTGACACTTGCAGTGACCTGCTCCCACGTCCCGGAAAGAAGCCCCCGCGGACAGAGGCCTAGTGCACCCACGTTTCCTGGATACACTTGCCCCAGTTTAAGGAACATTGCAGGTCACTTTTGAATTTTGGAATGCAAGCACTTCTGACATGTGGCTAAAGGGAAGGATATTTGCCGTCCCATTATGGAATTTATGCTTCACGAGGCTCAGTTTGTGTTTGAACAGGAAACGGCTTCTAGGAAGATCACAGGAAGGGGCGTCCTTTTCACACTCGGCCTCATCAGTTTGCTCAGTAAATGTTCGGCAGTCAGTGACCCGCATGCAGCTTTCAGTCCAGATGTCCTAGCTTCTGGGAGCCATGTGAAAGGGTCCAGTGAAGCAGGCACTCCGGTATTTTCAGGGCTTCAACACTAGTTCTTGTTTCTATTAAAAAACGGTATATTTGCAAAAAAAAATTTATTTTTAAATCCAAATTCAATATATTTTCTTTATTTAAATACATCCAGAATTTTCGAACACAAACATTGCTCTCTTTAAGCCAAAAAGCTTCCCAAGTCCAAATAAAAAATGAACACATGGATGATATGCTCTTGTGGGCTAATACTTTTTTGTTATTTTTTACCTTGTGTGAGGTCTTTGGTTGAGAAAAGAGACACTGTCTCTTCTGTCTGT